GTTTTACCTAGCTTGCAGTCTAGCGCACTTACCCCAACCTAACAACTTCCTCTAACTGAACAGAAAAATTATTAAAAAAAAACAGGAAGAAAGCTGACATTTGTCAAAGTGACAAATACTAACATAATCCATACATTTAAAGTTTTCCTATTCAAGAAATGAATGAAACGTGGTTCTAAATTACCATTCTTAAGGACATAATACAAGAAAACAAAGTGATCTACTATACAGACATTTTATATTTGACCCTAACTATTTATCAGTACTTGCCATAGCTTCATCACAGAAGCACAGTTGAGTTTTGAATACATGGTAAGGCAATATGGTAATATAAACATATTGTGCGTATGTTCCCTCAACATTTGGCATTTATTTTTAGTACAGAATGTATATGCATCATCTGGCAGTAGATACTCACCTAAAATGTGTTTGCATAATGAAGTAGCACAAAAACTCTTTTTCTCATCTTTAGAGAGAAAGGCTGCATAGATCCTTTCTTTTAAATTTTACACATAGTTCAAGCACATTAATACATGGCTGAAGGATACATGCGCAGACATTAAGTGGTAAAAGAATTGCTCTAATCACTGTAAATATCCCAAGGGAGGTGAGGAAGGAGGCAGGGATTTCCACACATACTCTTGCTCACAAATGTTGATTTGGGCAACATTCTTCAAAAGACTTCATGGCAATGCTGCATGAGTTTGCCAACAAATAAATACGACTGAGAAAATTCAGGGCATATAGAGAGCAAACACAAGTACAGTGTTCTTACTGTATTTCCAGTTCTCAGATCCTCCATTCAATTACTGTTGCTCATTCTCACTACTTTTAGTAGTAGCAGTAGTGGTGGTAGTAGTATTTCGTACTAATAAAATGCTCTTTAGTAAAAACTGTGAAGAACCATTTCTCGGTAGATGTAATATACAGAATATGCAGATAATAATTTCCATACGCAGATAATAATTTCCATACTATCAGTTTAAGGCTTTATGAATATAAATATTCTTCACAGATGAGTGGTAAACAATGGCTTCAAATTACTATCTAACAGCAAGATACATTACTTCCAACCCTTGAGTCTACATCTCACTAAAGGATGAAAGTCAGTCCATGTGGGTTCCTTATCTGGACATTTCAGGATCATAACATATATTTGGGGTGGATTTTCAGCCCAGCTTTACATTCATAGAATGTTTCAGAATCATGACGCTATCTCTCCTTTTTTTGTAAAACTGGTAAACTACATGTACACCCGATAACCTTTACGTTAATATTGGTTTTGTTAAGGTGTTTTTGCAGGAAGACTGATCTGGTAACTATGTTTCAATTTTTAAAAATTACAATTATATTTTATTTTAAAAAATAAAACAAGACTATTGTTTTGTTTTAGACACTGAATACTGAAGTATTTATTAGTAAATAAAGCATACTTCATACCAGTGCTTCCTCGCATTTAAGTATGTTGCCACGCTTTAAAAAATACAAATATACCTTAAATATTAAAAACTTATTTAAATACATTTCAAATACACATATATATGGTATATTCTTATGTATATGTATATGCATATGTATACACACACGCACCTGTGAAAAATGGAACTGTGGAAGACTGAACTCTATAGAACTTGGTCTATGATCTCATACCTACTGTTCAAAACAAACAGCCTTTCTTCACTGCTTCTTCACAAGAAGGTGGCCTGCTGTGCAGTATTCGTTTCACAGTAGTATCAAGGTAAAGAGTTGTCATTACTCCATACTGACCCCCCAACAGCCCATCAAAATGTAACAACACTGATCTGTGATCACAAGAATATGGTCCTTGCTATTTTAGTTTTCTTGCATTAAATAGAGATAAACTGTCCCCATGAGCTAACTATTCTCCAATTACATATGAAAAAAGTCTTATAATATTATTTTCACAATGTAAAACTCTAAACCAAGCTATTTGCAAATAATAAGTGAAACTTATTTACAGAAATGTGGGATCAATACAACTACATAATATTGTTTTCAAAAAGCCTTCAGAAATAAAAATAAATAACTCAGAAGTCACATTCCTCAAATTCCCTTTTAATTCCAAAGTACAACAGAAAGGCATTATGAAAAAAACAGTATTTTCCTTCTTTCATTAACTCATCTGTAACTGCACTGAATTCAATAACATTCCTCTGCTATTCTAAGCTTGAAAGGCATGCTCGGGGTAAAGTGTTATGTTGGTATAAAGCACAATGCCAGACTGATGTGCTGGACAAAAGTGATCAAAGTTGAAGTAATTTTAGCCAACGCACAAGTATTCTGCTGCATTATTCTACCAGAATGACATCTGTTGAGCAACTCGTCGCAGAATAAACTAGTTGTTATAGACAGGCCTGGTCGGGTAGGGGACCGTGTAAGACTTATTAGAGTAATGTTTGATTAAACAAACTGCTTGAGTTAAGATCATAACTGGATTTGGAATTCATGCCAAAGTAGTCCTCTTTCAAACAGCAAGCCACAATCAATTATTTAAGATAAAATAAGCTTGCTTTTAAATAACTATTTAATTTTAGCTTTGTTTGATAATTAGAATAGTATTAAGAAAGCAGACTGCAAGAGTTTTAGAGACTAGGAGTATTTACTAATCAGGTACAGAAACCCCCTTTTCTTCATTGACTTTATTTCAGTTTAAAGTTAAATTATGCAAGGAGGAAAAAAGTCCTAAGATTCTTATAAAGCAGAACTATAAACCACTACTTCACTGGGGCCAGTGAAATAAAACCTACGGCTTCACTCTTCATGGAACTGAAAAAAATTAGCATAGTAAATGGATGAAGTCTATTTTAAGGTTTTTATTTATAAATTCACATGATATTGACAGGAGGACTGAAATCTTTATAAATTTGGGTAAAGCAAACTCTAACTTCTAGTGCCATCACTGAGCTACATTTATTGGCAAACTTTTTGGTCCCCCACCTTTGATCAGTTTGAAATACTAATTGGTGGCATTGTCTTTGTACAGCCCAGAATTTCTTTTCATAATGTTCAGATGCCATGGTGACTGGCACATTACTATGGCAGCCACCCTTCAGATTATAATCTCCAGAATATACAAGATCATTTAAAAACAAATTAAAGGCACATCTATTTGGTTCCACAACTCAGCTGTGAACAGTATCAATGCAACCATTTAAACAAAAAAAAAAAAAATACCCCATATATTTCAGATGCAATTTTACTTGGAAAATAATTTCTGCAGAATGTCCTGCCTTGCAGCTCTACACTGATGCTGGAGAGGCACATGAAGTTTTACGTTCAGCTCATTTTCATTGGTATTAGAAGGGAGTTAAAATATTAAACGCCTTTTAATATTTTAAGAAAACCTGTATGCCAAAGTAGCCAACACCCTGAGAAAACTTCCCAGATACAGGCAGATGAGTATGTTGCTTTAAAAGGAAGGTTAAACACAAGAGATACACTTTGTTTGTAGATATGAAGTTAATTTGACATTCAAAGCCCTTCCATATCCTTATTCGTAAGGATAAAGCAAAGTAAAATGTACCACAGGGCAAGAAGCCTGTACCAGGTAATGTGATGACGATGACTTTCTGGTGATTTCACTTAGCAGGAATAAGTAGCTATTTTCTCATCTATGAATTAGAAAAATCTGAAATTTACTGTGGAAAAAAAAATAATCTAACACCTACCAAATTGTTAAAAAAATTAAATTTATGCTGAATCATCAAAGAACTGGCGTGCCTGAATCTGTATCTTTGAATCACAACAAATCACAACAAAGTTTAACAGTACTTTCCCTCAGGCTGTTTTCTGCTTATGCAGGTACAAAGTTAATTGAAATAATGTAGATAATGAACTTTTGTTAGTCTTATTATTAAATATAATTTATGCAAAGCTGTAAATTGGCTGAGATGCTAAAGACTGTTCCAGGCACATAGGCAGCATGAAAGACAGTGCAAAAATGAGTGCATGAAAGGCAGACAAAAGGAGCAATAAAGTCAGAGGACTGTGAGGAATGTGGAATGTGAGTTGGGGGATGCGGGGAAATGAGATCAGATGCAGACAGAGCAAGGTTGCATGGGGCACTGATAGTAAAGCGAGAGTCTTGACTTTGACATTGTAACAGAGAAGAAGTCCAGACAAGTAAGCAAAATTTTCAGGGGACAGCAACGATACGGATGAGGCAATGACAGAAAGAAATGCCAAGTAAGC